CTAGTTTCAGTTTTCAATTTTGATTTAAAATATAATAATTAGTTTATTTGCAGTTTTTTATTAGTAAGATTCAATGGTTACAAATTCAAATGTGAAAAAGGTCACTACCAGCACCTTGTCGTTTTATATTTCCACTGACCTCCCTGTATCAGCAAAAAAATATCTCGTGCCATAAATTACGAAATAAGTGGGCTCGCCAGAACCGAATCTGATTTCGTGTACCTTTTGTTTTATGTTTCTATTTAATTAACATTCGTAGGAACGTGGCACATATATTACCGATTTCGTTGTATGTCGCACTTTATTCTTATTGTCTCAAAATAAGCCTGGACGGATTCAATTTGCCAATTACCAATTCAGATCAAGATTCCTCATGCCGACGGGTCGCACGGACATCTGCAATTATTGACAAATTCAGGTGTTAATTCTGGTGTCCATGTCTCTTAGTCAGTGGAAGGAAGTTGTATATTTACTCCGGTTTTTATCTTGACTTGTCCGAAATTTATGAGTTTGTTCCATTTGAGACGCTCGAAATTCTCCTTAATATTTCGTCCACAAATGTAGCGATAATGAACCATACATATTCCCTTATTTTTTTTTTTTTTAGTTGAATAAAATTAAAACACATACCTAACGTGAATAATGAAACCCGTTCTAACAATAGTTACTGAAATATTTGAATAACTATAACATACTACTTGTGGTATTAGAAAGAATAAATTAAATATTTATTCTATGTATGTGTACAATGTACGTACGTATATGAACATACCTTTTCTCTTATTTGGCATTTATATTTATGCGAGGTTGTTTGTGAATTCATAACTAAATAATCTGAAATTAATTCAGCAATGGAAAAATGCGATCTGAACCACTGTATTTCAAATTGTGATCGTAAAATGTCGCACGAATGTTGCTGACCTGCTACAAATTTTATAGCTCGATTTTATTTCTCAGATATAGAGGTGAAATTTTTTTGATATAGGCCATTCCCGTATCTTACTTTGAGTAGGTTAGTTCTTAGAAATGGAGCAATTTTCGGTGTGTTTGCCACATTTAGATTTCGTGATTTTCGATGGACGTAATCCAGAAAAACTGTTATAATTTCACTCAAGACAAGGACCTGGAATTTGCAAACGACTAATACATACTTAAAAAACGTGGACTGGAACATGGCAGCCCAGTCACATCAAAACAAGCACTAGAACGACATGAACCAGAATACACAATGAAGTGGAAATCTGCACACCAAGTAAGTGGTCTCTACAAAGGAGAAGCCTGCTTCGTCTGCAGAAAATTGGAGTAGTACTTGACGAGACGGAAGAACCTGTTGTGCCAGCCATTTTTGAAAGTAAAACATCATGTTCAAACCTATACAGCTCGTTAACCAGCTCGCTTCTACGAGAGAAGATCAGATACACCAAGAAGCGACTCAAACAAAAAGAGATGAATGCTGTAGAAGTGCAATCCAAACTTAGCAGCAAGTTAAACAAATGATTGGACAAACTGGCCACAGAGTATATGCACAAGAGAGTAAGTCACAAACAAACAGAAGAGAAAAGTTGAAAACTGCTTCTCAATGAATATCCCTAACGAACGAAAAAGAAAATTGAGGAAGAGGCAGTCTCTCCGATTCAAGCTTCTAACATTCCCAAGGAAGACGCTATTCCAAGTAATTTAAGAACTCAACCAACAGGAATTAAACTATATTGCCTTCTAAAAATCCACAATTCGACCAATAGGGAATGTTGATCAGCCACTTACCTACTCGCCTGGTAATTAAATATCCAATGGAAAGATAGAAGACCATGTCAAAATAATGCTGAATATTTTGTCGGCAAGAGCAAAGGAATTGGACATCCAAGTGTGTTTTGACGGGACGTCGTTGTTGACAAACGTGCTAATTAACGAAACTTAGAAATATTTCATCAAAGGCTCTTCGCAGAGGACAAGGTTGAGAATTTAGTAGACTTAGCAGAAGGGTTCATCAGATGGAGTTTATTTTCCTTTAGGCGTTACATTTATGAACAAACTGAAGGAGCAGTAATGGTCCATCCCTTCCGTACCTTTGATAAATATGTACATAATGGCCTTCGGTGGAAAACTCTAGAGTCAGCAACTTTAAATCTGAAGACAACAATGTACTTCACGATTCTGTACTCATCCCGTATATTTGCAACGAAGTATATGTTGGTGAAACAGAGAGACACGTCAGCGCATGGCTAAAAGAACGCAAGTGTCACCTAAAGAATAATAATAAAGAGAATTCAGCACTTGAGTAGATTCAGGACGTACAATTCAGAAAATACTTAGCTTCCCAGTAACAAAGTATTCAATCTTAAAAAAAAACATCTTTGTTTTATATCTTTGAAGATTTATTATGTATTTTGATAAAACTTTAGTTAATAATTTACATAATTAAAGGCAAGTCTCCATTGAATTAGTTCTGGTAACAAGAACCTCTGAATTTCGACACCACTGATTACACAGGCCGGCAATATTTTAACCCAACAACACGAATATACTTTCCCAAAGGATTTTGGTGCGCTGAATTCGAATCAAAGGTCCAAATTTCTCAATAGGCTCTGGTTTTCGAGATATCCTAACCTAAATGTGCCAAAATCGCGATTTTTTGACATTTTTGAGGTTGTTACTTGGGAATGTAATTTTTTTGCTGAAACCATTAATGGGGAATTACTTTACTTATTATTTTAAACGTACTTGGATTTATCCCGATATCAATTTTCGTCTTCGAAAAATCGCATATTGAAATTTAGTAGTTTGACTTATTTCTCAATTTTTAGTGTTTATGGGTTTTAAGTTTATGGGTTAAGTGAAGTGCGTTTTAAAGAGTAAGTATAGTACTCTAAGACCCCATTAATGGTTTTAGCAAAAAAATTACCTATTCATATTCACATAACCTCAAATATGTCAAAAAATCGAGATTTTGTCACTTTTAGGTTAGGATATCTCGAAAACCAGAGCCAATTGAGAAATTTGGACCCTGGTACGTCCAATATTGGACTTCTTACGGAAACGACATTGTATCACGTCCACTTTGTAGTATAACACCACCCTAGGTTCGACAAAAAATAAGTAAACGTAGTTGTGGCCAAAAATATGTGATCGTCATAAGGACTACCTACGTTGTGTGTATTTTTTGTTTTTTTATTGACCGGAAGGCACTGGCTACTAACTTTGTAGAGGGGATGTAGGGTTTAATTATACAAAACAAAAGCAGAGTAAATACACCTAACCTTTATTTACATACAATTCAAATTAAACATGTGACAAATAGAAAGAACAACAAAAACATTAACAACCATTTAACATAAAATGAGAGTGCCAGGCTCACCTAGAGCTCCTGCGGGGAAAGAGCATGGCAGAGAAACCCACGATCGTTGCTCTTACCACCCAAATATAAATACAAAACAACCGCTAACCAAAGGCATACATTAAGAACCTTTGCTAATGATAAATAACACCTGACTTATTTAATTTCTCACTAAATGTCATCTCACTCAAGTCTGACATACACGCTTCCAAGTAAAACTGAAGAGGTTTTAGTAACAATAATAGCAACAACAACAGCAATAATAATAATAATAACAATAATAATAGGGAAGGTACTGGAGTCCCATACGGGAGGCAATCCAGCTATAGTTGAGATTTCGGAGGAACAACAACAATAATAATAATAATAATAATCATGGGTGAAAATGTTAGTAAATTCAACAAAGCTCTTACATGCGTATGACATAAAGTGAGCACAAGAAATCAAAGAACAACGTAATCAAGATAAAACAAGTTAAATGTGAAACAAAGAAGCTGTTTTGCAATATCTGGGCAGACACGACAATATACATATTTTAACATGTATTAAATAGTGAGCAATCTATAATAATAATTGTAACAATTTTATCTTAGAGAAATATACGCCCCTGAGCGTAAGACAATGAAGGCTAAACATACACAGAATTATTATCATGAAACAACTATATTTTATGTATAACGTAATCGTGGCAAAAACAAGTTAGATGTGAAACAAAGAAGTCGTTATTGTAATGTCTGGGCGCCCACACAACATATATACACATATATATATATATATTAACATGAAATAAATAATGGGCAAACTTTAAGTATAATTATAACAATTTTACCTTGGAAAAATATATGCCCTTGAGCATAAAACAATGGAAGCTAAACTTACAAAGAATTATTATCATGAAAGATCTATAATCATCACAATCATAAGATTACATAGAACAATTAACAACAAAATACTTAAAGAATATTACCTGCTAACTAATACCGGTTAAACACTTAATTTTCCACTAATTCTATATTTTTCACACTACACTGATCGTCTTGCTAACTATCTGCACACTGTTCTCACTTCAACTGCCTATCTTAAACTAACTATTTAGGCTTCCTTCCAGAATTTCCCACCTAAATGCTTGTTTTTTGTGCTTCCTTCTATCGACCGTTAATATTACTTTTTCATTGTTATACAACACCCATGTAGCAGGTGACGTGGAAGTTGATAAGATAAGTACGGTTTTGCACAACTTAAATGGTGATACATATTTGTAATTTATAAAATACTCGAAAATCTTAAATTGGCAAGGGGTAGTTTTTGTTGAAAATTGGATATGCAATTCAAAAACTTTTTGAACTTTTTGGCAATTTGAGGGTTGGCAGTTTAGCATACCTAACTTTTTTTATCAAACTTAACAACGATTATTCCCGTACACAATATTTTAGTGGCCCTCCTGTATAAGACTCGTAAAACCTCCGGCTGTATTAAGGAGAATTTGCAGTGTTCCCGGCAATACGACCTCTTGTTTAATATTATCTGATACAAGTCATATCCGAGCGGATCGCGTAGCCCACATATTTTGAATTCATTTTCTCTTTTCGAAGCCTACGTTATTTACTATCTTATATTTAAATTACACCCGCGGGAAATGAAACTTATGTGACCTGTCCTTTCGCAGACGGTTCTGCATTGGGGGGCAAAATATGGGAATGCAGACATCATCAAAATCTTCGCTGGGAAGTACAAGGTCGACGTCAATGGCAAAACGGTAAGATCCTTTGATTAATTATTATCTGCACTAGACATAGAAATATTGTTTTTATTTTTCTATTTTTTCTTTTAACGTTTTGCTGGATTTTTTTTGTCGAACATAATAAGGATATTTCTAGATTGATAAATAAGATTCAGTACGATCATAAATAGTTAATTAGAGATTTAAATAAGTTCAGCAAATAGTTAAAAGAAAAAAAAAATAGTGGCAGCATATTTTAATATTATTTTTATAAGGACCTATAGTAGGATCATATTCGATGCAAAGTAATAAATCATTGCCTGTCAAGGGATCCAGTGCAGTACGGTTTTAAGGGGTTTAGAAATTGAAAATTTTCTTTATGCATTATGAAGGGATGAAGGGATAGTCTGGCACCCCTGTTCCTACAAAAATCCTTTTATTCACATAAATTATTTATTTTAGTTAGTATATTAGTGCGCATGAAGCGATATTTCAGATTTTACATTCAATTTCATTTCAAATTTGAAATGTTTCATCTTACGGGTCATGATGAAACGATTTTCCTTTGATAAAAGACCGACAATTATTTGCTCTACTTTGCGTCGAATACGATCCTACTATAGTACCTTTAAATTCAAAAAATAAATGTAGGTACTTTATTTGCAAAATCATTAATTTGGAGACATTGATTTTTAATCTCTAGACTACAAAGATTCATTTAATATGGGAGACCGGCGTCAGGATGTTAACGGATGTTAATTGATGAACTGAATGGTGTCATGAGCTGAGCTGTTATAAACTTTTGACTTGTTTAGTTAACCCTCTATAGTTGTCAGTTCTGCTGGAAAACTCTATAGAATAAAACAAGAAAGACTATAGTTGTTACATAGTATTTATTTTTCAGCTTATGTCCAAACTAAGTTGATATTCTTATTACTTAATAACTATCAAATTTTAATAGCATGCTAAGTAAGCCTAATTTGTTTTCTTAAAAATTAATTAAATGAGACAACATGGCGTATGATAGTGTTAATTGTAACATGCTAATTGTGGGTAATTGTAACATATCATAATGAAAACAGCAGAAACTACATCACAAAATAAACATAGGTTGAAAAAATATGCGACTCGCAATTTTTTTTCATTTTAACTTGGTTAAATTGAAATACGAATTGTGACAATATTAAACATTTCAAATTTGGCGCCAAATGTACTGGTTTCTATAATAGAATAAGATTTCCTTTGAGACAAATATTAAATAAATGTATATTTTCTACAAACGGACATTTCCATTTTCTTTACGGTTGAAGGAAAATACCCCAGTGGTATTTACAATTGAATTACTCGTAAATATTTATTCTCTTCATTATTTAGATTGTTAACTGATTAGTAAAGTTGTTTAGTTTAAAAATTAGTTACAATGCACGCAAGAAAGTGTTCGAACAACTAAGTACATAGTTGGATTTTGGTCAACATTCTCACATTAATAATTTCTATTTTATTTGCATTAACTGCGATTTTAATTAATTTTAATCCTTAAAAATATTTACTTACATTTATTTTGAAATCGATTTTTTTATGATATTTATATATTTGAAATATTTAAAGCATTAGATTTTATACCGCTTATAAATTAACTTTTATTATTCCTGTTTTAATAAGTTCATCCACCTTGTGACATTTATAACAAATGTGCAATTTCTGTTACAATCGACTTGAGTCGTCTCCCCTATAACATTGAACATTTGTAACCGTTGTTAAAAATTTATTTTAATTCAAATCATTCTTTTCTTTTTCGGATTTTCGATCATTCAACATCAACAGAATGGGGTAAGTAGCTCTTGATAAAAATCAAATATATTCCTATAAATATAACGTTCGATTCGATTCTGAGTTGTTAGGTCTTTTAGAAAATATGCTTTGCTTTCTTTACTGATCGAATTAACTGAGAGCCCCTAAAAACATAAAACTGTTAAAATATTTGTGGTGAACTGATATTGTCAACCATAAATTTACCGCACCATTTATTTATTTACTGCTATGCATATTTAACTGTTACTTTTTTATTCGATGCTGTGTGTAAATTATGATGACCATACTTCGTGTAAATTATTACGAAGTGGGAATTATATATATACGATAGAAATGAAAATATGTAAAATAGTCTTATTAATATATTTTAACAATGTTGAACACGTCAGAGAAAAATTATAGTTTTGTATGTAAACAAATGTATTTAGTATTACGACATGGAAAAGTGATATCACACTTCTGATCTTGATAAATTTTTTTTACATAAATTCAAGTAAGCACTCATTTAAAATTCCTATTTTATTTTTATTTTGCGCTGATGATATGTGAAATAAAGGCGTCAGGCAATACCACCTTGTAGGGCTGTAATTGGCGATGCTGCACCTGCTCGATTTTATTGATTATCTAGTTTTATTTTATATACTAATTTCCGTTAATAATGTATTAAACATTAAGCTAATATCATATGGGCAGGTATGATCAGATATTTCGTTATATGTAGTAGATACTCGTATCTTTTATATCAGACTAAACGTATGAGATCACACATTGTGCAGTTAAATTCGTTGTGACAAATTGAAATGTATACGTAAATAAATTTATACAAAATTTAATAAAATCCATTGGGCTTATAGTAATTAATTAGTTCTTTCAAAATATATATTAAAGGGGGTAAAGGGTAAAATATTCTTAAAATGAATGTGGTTTTATTTGAATAGTGGTAAATAAAATTAATTTGATTATTTTTAGAATATTAAATTCTGCTGAACTGTACCAGAATTCTTGTCTCAACATATCTTCTGACAATCTATTGTTAAATGTACTGAGATAATTCATGCATAAAGAACCATGCAACAAGCTTTAGTAAAAATGCACTAACGGTTATCGAGCGCAACATTCGCTTTATGAGATAGTCATAATTGAGACACCACCACAAATTTATCGCCACCCGTACGCCGTGAGAGAAACGTCTCGGATTTCCAGAAAATATTTGAAATGCCCTCGCCTCTAAGAAAATATTGCCGCATACCGCGCGGGCCATCATTTTCGGAAATCTCTTTATTCTGGTCGCGTTTCCAGCAACTCCGGTAGCCTGTGGTCCTGTCATAAGGGCCACCGTCAGACCACGGAGACGTTGCGACGACGCATGCCGGGCATTCCTTATGCGAACCGATGTCACATCTCAGATTATGCCTTTAATACAATAGATAACAGCTTGTTTATGACATTTACATTTGTATACCCCTGCATAGCCGACTTATTAATGTCCGCTTTATGGCCGGGAACTATTCCGGAATGTCTTTTTTGGAATGGTGCGTTCGAGCGCTTTGATTTATCGGCGCGCCGTATTATCGTGCGAGTCCCATCTTCTATGAATAATGAGGACTAATTTTGTATCTAATTTTTGTGCGCCGGGTGTTTTGGATTCCGGTCGGCCTCAGTCAAAATAACGCAGCACATAATCTGAAATGCTCGTGGCTGACTAGTCTTCTAAGGGCAACTAACATTTTCACTGTAATAGCCAATTAAAGTGTTCCGTAGCAGCATAAAAATTGTTATTTATTTTATTGGAGATAATGGAAACTAATTATAGACTAAGAGCCGGATAGGAAAATGTTTCTATTCATTTTAGGCACCGTAAAGTCGGATATCCACTTGTGGCAATGCTCCGTAACGTAACAACGAACATGTTACGGCCTGTTGCAAAAGGTGACACGGTTCGCCGCGAAGGTATGTGTGGTTTTGGTCGTATTATTCATTCCGTAACGTAACAAAATAAGGTCATGAGACGACACAGAAACATAAACTCGCAGTATGAATCTGACTGCAATAATGGATTCGTCACTTCAATTGCAGTTAGCAGCAGCGTCATATATTTTTATTCATCATGTAATTTTGAAGAATAAGAAACGGAAATCTCCGGAAATCTTTCCTTTACTCCACTCCATGGCACAAACACAGAAAAACACACACTTCCTAGTCACTGCAGAAAACAGAATGACCCCAGACCATATATAAAAGGCTGACGAAACAAAAAATAAGACAAATCACATGTGCAATAGGCAACGTTACGGCCAAAAGGGTAACCCCGTCTCACCATGTGGCAGAAAGTAGGTACTGTTGCATCCCTTTGATGCGACGACTAAAAATCGACAACTGCTGGTTCGTCCCGGATTAGTTACGCGTGTCAAATTTTTTACACGTACCATGTAACAATTTTCCGTCTCCACTAGCTGTAACGTAACATGTTCGGTGTTACGTTCAATTTCTATTTAATTAGTTTACCCGGCCCAAAGTTGGAAAGTTTGATTTTCCGTTGACAACCCATGTGCCACGGAGAATTGATGGCATAGTGCTCAAATGTTTTCTTTTAGGTTGTAACGAGCGTTCAAATAAAAACGTGGTCAAGTTGGTTCTGAAAATTTGGACGTAGGGCGTAGCGTATAGCAAATGAACTTAAACGTCATCTGTCAAAGCGCTATATCGCCGCTATCAATTTGAATATTTTCGTTTTAAAAAGCGTTTAAAATGGTGTTTTCTCAAGAACAACAAGTGTTTATCATAGAGTCCTACTTTAGAAATGGACGCAAGATTGATGGAATATGGAAGTATTCTATTGAGGAATGTTTCATTTTCGTGATACGGGCAGTGTAACAAGAAAAGAAGGAAGCGGCCGACCTAAAAAGCGGACTGAAGAATTAAAAGAAAATGTCCAACAAATAATGGAAAATGCGCCAAGAACTTCTGTACGTGTTTTATCACAAATGGTGGGAGTATCAGTCGATATCTGCCATACAGTGTTAAAAAAAGGTTTGCGTTTGTTCTCCTATCGTTTAACTTGTCAGCAAGAACTTCATGAAGTTGATTTTCCGCGACGGTCTGTATTTTGTGAATGGTTTTTAAACAACTACGGTGAACTTCATAATATCACCTTTTTTTCTGATGAAGCCTGGTTTCATTTAAGTGGTTACGTAAACTCACAGAATATGAGAATGTGGTCTTCTGAAAAACCAGATAACTTTTTTGTCGAGGGCCCTCTACACGCTCAAAAAATTGGAGTTTGGTGTGCTCTCAATCGAAGGAGGATTTATGGACCTATTTTTTTTTAATGGTACTCTTACTGCGCAAAGGTATAGAGAAGAAATTATCGCTCCTTTTGTTAACCAGCTGGAAGAAAACGAAATTACAAACTTTTACTTTCAACAAGATGGCGCAAGGGCACATACGGCAGGCGAGACCATGAATATGTTGAGGAAGTTTTCCAAAATCGACTAATAAGTCTCAATGCTGAACATGAATTTACACCGAGGTCATGTGATATTACGCCGTGTGATTTCTTTTTGTGGCCTTACCTTAAAAACACTATTTTTGAACTGCCTATTCCTGATTTAAACCATCTGCAGGCTCGACTTATAGACAAGATTCGTGAAATTAACAATACCCCAAGCATCTTAGAAAATGTCTTTAATTCTTTGAGGAACAGGTGTGAAAAGTGCTTGGAACAAGGAGGGGGACACTTTCAGCAGCTGCTTTAATTTATTGTTATAACAAGGAGGGGGACACTTTCCGCAGCTCCTTTAATTGTTTGTTATTGTTATTCTTTAAAATAAAGTTATATAGTCATTAACGTTATTGAAACTGACAGCTGCTATACAGCTCGTTGAGAAATGAGGTTAAGTTGGTCGTTATAAGCTACTCCCTACGTCCAATGTGTCAGAGCCAACTTCGACCACGTTTTTATTTGAACGCTCGTTAGTATTTAAAGTCATAGAGACTCTTACGGTGTCTAAAATGATTAGGAAAATTTTCCTATCCGGCTCCTAGTCTATTAGTTTATACGACAAGTTTGCGATGTAAATTTACCATTAATTACATTTTTTAATAAATTTATTAATTAAGCATTATAAAAGAGGAACTCTCGCAAATAGACCAATCAAAAGGGCAAAATATCTTGACAAAAATACCACCAGCATACCACCTGTGCCATCATTTAAAAGACAGTCCGTATATATACTCTGATGTGTTGTCGACTCGCAACTCTTAGTAATTAATTTGTTATTAACATTTAGTGTAAAAAGACGCGTTTTTTAGTTTTTTGCTTTTAAAACCAAAACTACTGGAGCAATCTCAAATCCGTAAATGGAAAAGTTGTAGAAAATTAAATTTCGAAGAAAATGAGAGGTCGAGCGATCCGATCGGTTGATTAGAACCGGAGAAAATCCGGAAAACAGTAAAATTCGGCACCACAAAAATCCTTAACTTTGTCATTTATGAAGATTAAGAGCTGAATTTTGGCACAGAGTAGGTAATTATATCAACTTTAAATGTGCAAAAGGCACGCGCTGTCGGACCATTCGTTTTTCCGGAATTACAGTTTCAAATAAGCGAATTAATAACAGCATGTAGAAAAAGTAGTTAGTTTTTATATATATTTTCTTAGAAATAGACTGTAATTAGTGGAACACACCATATAACACAATTCTATATTGTAACATAAAGTGATATTTCTGAAGCCAAATGATTTACACAAGCTTTTTTTTTCAGCGTAATATTAACTGACGACTGAAAACTACGCAATTATTTCATTAAAACACATCTTTTTGACATCTCGTTAAATATCACTGAAATTTATTTTGGTGGTCCGACGGATATGCGACGATATAAATGAAGTGAATAAAAATGAAAATGGCGTCAATTTGTCAAGAGGCAATTTTGTTTCGTTTTAAATACTGTTTTATTTATCCCTCTAATCAGTCACTTTAATTGACCCCTATGTTACAACAATTCAGGGATAAAGTGTAAATGTAATTTTTATAATTTCCTGTATCACATATAGCTATGTATTTTGCGATAAACTATCTCAAAGAGAAATTAGTAAGGAGTACTTATTTATTTTGATAACACAGCCCCTCAAAAAAAAAGTATCGGATCTGGTATTCAGACCCATGTATTTCCATGTATTTTTTCCGCTAACTCCGAATCTGCCTTCAGATTTGGCCCAATAGGTCTGAGTTTTCGGGAAAACTCAAAAAACAGGTCAAAATTCACAAAAAAACGTCATTTACGATCGACGAAAGTTATAAAACATTAAATTATTCTACCAGCTCACTAGACGGATTTTATTATCATAGAGTCAGACAAGCTGGTCCAATTTCGTTCAAAAACAGAAAATAGGTCAAAATGCTTAAAAACACCATTTTCATGGCATAATTCGTGTTGCAGAGTTCTGGATCCATCTTTTTATCCACCCATCCATTTATGAATTCATACATCTTTCTATCCAGTCGTTCATGCATGAATACGCATATTTATTCATCCACATATACCACCTATAAAATCCACCCATCTATCCATCTACTTTTGTGCTGAGAGATGAGATAACAGCCTAGAATATATTCTACGAAATCCTAACAACTTAGAACGAACTTAACTATAGCGCTTATTACTTTTTATAACTGTGCAAATTTTAATTAAAATTGCAACAATTTTTCAGGGATATACACCTTTGCATATATCAGCGCAATTCGGACATAAACATATCTTCAAGTTATTAATAGAAGTCTACAGTAAGTATTAGATACAGGGTGTTCTATTATTCAATATCGATTTTGTAGCGTACGTGAGATTCACTCAGAAAGTAACCGCACTTTGAAAAATTAACGAAAACGTTTCAGAAAAAATTATCGACGAAATTCTTTTCTTAGTAAAACTTTTTTATATTTTCTTGAAAGTTGACCTGACCAAATTCATCTTGTCGGTGAGTTTCAGAAGGTACCTGCTCTACTTTTAAGGTATCCTGTCGTTGTCTCTCCTACTGCGGACTCCCTTCTTGATCTACGCATCTCGCGAACAAGATGATTTTGGTCAAGCTATACTAGCCAATCGAAAGGGGAATGTTAACAGTATTTTTTATTCATCTAATTTCAGAGGCTGACACGAATATAAGGGATTACAGCGGTAGGACGCCGGAATTCTACCTTCTAGCAAAGGAACAGAAAGAGGGGACCGGCATAACTTTGCGCAGTGAGTATACCAGGGACAAGTCACAGCATGGCAAATCTGCACGAAAGAGCAGGAGCTTTCGCAACAAAACCATTTCTCTTCCCACTCCACATACTAAACCACATATTTCTAGCGTAGAATTTCCTAACAAACACCTTTTCGGGTCTTACACGGTGACAAAACTGTAGATAGGAAGGTTCTTTGTTACTTTTAGTATTTCGCCCAATCTTCTGTGGCAGTTTTTTGAGGGCGTACTGGAATTATTCTGTTTCCCAGTATTATAGCAGTATTATCTTTCACTTTCCAGTTCTTATGGGAACATTCAAAGCGTATGTTAAGTTTGAGCGTTTTAGGACAAATATGTTTCCTATTGTCTTCATTATGTGCATTTTATTCTTATTTAGTAGATTTTTAAAAACTTGCCTAAAAAAAACTAACATTAGAAAATAATTTTAGAGCTAAATCGGTGCAAGTATAATGAAAAATCAAACATGTTTCGCGTTTCTTATAGATTATTTTATGTACCTCTTCTTGTATAGTTCTAAAATATGTTTTACAACTACCTACTTATAATCAACAAATAGCAACTAGTCAAAATGGTTTTCCATATAAGACACAAATTAACACAGTCTTGCTCCCCAACTTCTGTATATAAAGCAAAATATGGTCTCCTATAAACGTTGTAAGCTGCGCATGGCGTCACATCCATTTTAGTATATTTATTCCTACTTATTGTTGTTGTAATACACATACCGCAGGCTGTTCACTAATTGGTTTCACAAAAAAACATATTTCCCTAATGAAAACTAGTAGTCCAGTAATTACGTGCTGTAGATTACCTTCAGCTGGAAAATTTTGCGGAAGTTTTTGTATTCTGCAATTTTACATATTTTGAGCTTTCAAATTTTTCATTTGCCACTTCATATCTTTGCTGAAGGCGCCGCCATATTATAATAAATTGGGGGATCTCAATACTCGTTACTTTTACAGCAAAAATAGTTATGTAACAAATGAAAGACCAGGAAATTTGCTGCAAAAGAGGTTATAATCATTTTCTTCATAAAACTGATTATCCGTTTTGGAAAGGAGACTAACAAAGGTCACCATTTAATGTGCAGTGAAAAGTAATACTCATTTCCACATCACCATTAGAGTATATGGCGCGTTTTTTCCTGTGGTTTCCCCAGTAAGCCTAATCCACAAATTAATTGATAAATGAAAATTACAATAACTTATTTCGCTTTATTATCCTTGAGAGACCAGCTTTATCGATGTTTTTGATAGTAATTGAAGGCAATGAAGTTTCAGAGTCGTGTTTGATCAATTAATTCTTCTAGCGCAGTAGCTTCTTCTATACTTTCTGTATCAATTTCATTACACAGTTGCTATAAGATCATATCTTCATCGTCATTACTATCTTCCAATGCTTGGGGCATGTTATCACATCTATTGTCACAGTCGAGCCCTACTTTCCAACATCCACATGCTTCCCGCCGTCCTTTCTTGCATTTACAAGAAATTTGTTTAATAATAACTTCTGGAGCAGGGGTTTGGAATGAAGTCAGAATCCAATCCATTGCTGTACCTGCTGATACGTTCGAAACGAATGTTGTCTTGCTGATGCTTCTGTAGAAGGCAATTATTTATTCCTGTACGCTGATTTTATGAAGCATTGGTGCCTATAAGTGTTCAGAGGTATAAATTCCTTTTTATTATAGTCGTAAAGTCTGAGAAAAAAGTATTCTCCAGCTTTAGCTACACTTTCTTTGTCGGCACCTTTTTCTTTAAATACTTTTATAACTTCGTGGGTGGGGAGTGGTGGGGAGGGCGATGTCAATGGTCAACTGTTGCATCCGAGCGATAGGCTTAACACTTTAAATGCGTATTGTTTTACACGTTACATACTTGGTAAACTTTGTAATTCTGGTACGTGAAATAAAAAATCGAAAAAAACAGTTCAAAATACATACCAAATATCAAAACTTCCGCAAATTTTTCCTGATAAATTCACATGGTTATTGGACTATAGAGTAAACCTGATCATTGCCTGCAACTAGCAATTTCTGTTTTCTGTTTACTACAAAAAAACTGATAAGAAGTAGACGACACTCGATTTACGGCCACAGATATTTACCTCTTTTTATGTAACATGTAACTCGGTGACGATTGCAGAGGTTCTCAATAAGTTTTAGTAATTTTGATTGCTGTCAATCTTGACTATTACTAAAAAATCCTCTCCAGGTTTGTAAACACCTTGTATATTTTCATACGTGGCTAACTGACGTGACGTCAGCGCGCACGTCATCCGCAGCCTAGAACGTTTCTAGGAGATATACAGTAAGCGACTTCTTTTGAAAATATTGAAACAATTGGAAATAAGAAAACCCGTCGTTTAGGTACAAATTTATAAAAATTATTGACGATGTTATAAATATCCAAACGGTGAGCAATTTTTTCTGTAATAAGCTATTAAATAACAATTGTAAATAATGAACAGTATTAATAATCCATTTGTTTGGCATTTTTGCTATTTGCTTGAAAATAACAATAATCGCTTAATAACGGTCAAATTTTCTTAGGGTTATAAAAAACTGATTAACAGATACATTAAAAACTTGAGAACATATTGTGAGAAGTCTCGAAAAATACAGATTTTTCGCTTTGCGAATTACATTTAACCACATAAGTTTTACATTTTTGTATTAATTTTGTTTAATTGTTTTTTAATCATTTTTTAATTCGTATCTGTTTTTTATTATTTTTTTTTTCATATTTCCCGACAATAGATAAATAATTGTTACTTGTTCCAGCATTTATGTGTTTGTTATAGTGTCTTGTTCGACTTTGTAGGGCAATCTCCTCAACATTTCTCAGTATCACTTCGTATTACCTTCAACAAACTATTATTATTTTCAGTTTTAGAAGCTCAGTATTTCTCGAAATCTTTTGTCAGTATTAGCAAAATTTTTCCAGTTTGGTGTGCATCTGTTAGTGCAGCTTTCCCTGTACAATCTTAATTATTAATGAAAATCCATAAGAAGTTACTGTAGCATTTCGATTAATTATTTTTGGTACTTCAGTTTGGTTGCTTTTACTTCAGGAGCATGAGGTTGCTTACTTAACCACTGTTTTCTGGGATACCCCGTAGATACTAAAAACTATTTTTCTTGTATCACGAAACGAAGTTTCTGAACTTCCATAAATTCTCATTGCCTTCATGTTGTTCAAAACTTACCGCAAATAATAAGGCAAAACAAGGGTTTGAGGTTTGTCGACGGTATCATAGTTTTCTAAACAAATCAATCGTTTTAGGTTCTGTTAAATTTAGATGTTGTAAAATATATGTTTATGGCAACAAAAGATCATCACATCTTGATTTAGATTTTAAGTATTAGTATAGGCTAGGCACGCCAGCTAAAAATCTCCAATTCAAGTAACTCCAAAAGAAATATTGATTTTAAGAGTGCAATCCATACAATAAGACATTGGTAGTTATAATAAACAATGTAAAAACTTATAAATATTTATAAAAAAGTGGTTAAAAATAAAACCTCAGCCGCCAGCGTCGTTTATCAGTATGATATGCAGGGCCGTATTAACCTTTGGTGGGGCCTGGTTGCAAGCTCTACGGAAGCCCTTTTTCTGAAAAAAAAAACAATCACTGAGTTACCGATATAAAATTTTTTGGCTACCAACTGTAGGTGGGGTGGTTAGGTTTGAATATACGGTTTATTGAGATATTTTATCGTATTTCAATAGAAAATTAACATGTATATGGTAGTTGGATACAGCATCTTCAGACTTTTTGGTTTGATTTTGACAAATCTTGCCGAGGCCCAGGGCTATAGCGCCCGTAGCCCCGACCATAAATACGGGCCTGATGATATATGTGTTAGTGTTATTAAGATACCTACTGCATGATGGTATAAGACAGTGGGAGCCGAGAAACAAGGGTTTTAGTACTGAATGTACGGGGGGACCTAATAATAACCGGACGAAATTCGCTAATCGCGCCGTTCTTTGTGATTGACCTTCTTCTTCTAGATGGGTGTTATGTAACCCCTCCCGAGTCGGTCTGTCAAGTGGCATCGCTCGAAACGGTTATAGCGAACTTCTGAGACAGCTTTCGTGCTACATGCCTTGAAAAAAACTCAAGCGAATGAGTGGTATTCCCGATTCATACGCGGCGACATGTCGATCGAACACACTAAACGCCTGAGTTGACCTTCCACTCCCAGAACTGATGAAAACGCGAAAAACATCAGCGCGCTTGTGTATAAGGATAGTAAACGTACTGTTGAAGTACTTGCTGAATTGTCTGGTCTTTCGTGAAGCTCAGTGCGACGCGTTTTAACTAAAGATTTGCAAATGACGAATCGCTGCGAAATTCGTCCCCTCGTTGTTGATTTGGATCAAAAGGCGGGTCGTATCGCTATTTGGCGTGATTTGTAGACAACATACCAATCGCGTCCGATGCACTTTTACCATCTCGAATATCCATTTTAATACATCGAAAAGGTCGAAATAGTCGTCGCTAGAGAACTGTTTCAGGGGCTCGCTACAATCGCCTCAAACAACGCCACTTGGCCGACTGACTCGGGAGAGATTACGTAACACCCATTTAGCGGGAGAAGCCCAAACTACAAGAGCGGCGCGCGCAACGAATTTCGCCTGGTTATTTGTGGGTCTTCCCTCGTAGTACTCATTATATTCAACACATCAGAGATTTTCACCGCATTCAATTTTTTATTGTGTATCATTGCTTTTTAAATGCCACTAAATCAGAAATATTTCTTGAAATTTTTAAATTTTTATGTAAAAACAGTAAAAACAATATGTGCCATTTGAATTGGAGATTACTTGCTGGAATGCCGTACTACTAGGGTATGGTTATGTAATGTTCAGTCATTTCAGTGGCCAAATAATAGACGTGTATTCAGCTAGTCATAAAGTCTTTAAATATACAATCCGTTAAATATTGTATATATAAAAACATTATCAAAAAATACTAAACTAAAAATTAAATCGCAAGTAAAGTTATATTAAGGCTGCCAAAATATGTAATATAATACTTTTTAATTTAGTAGGATGTATTTACATCACATTTTATACTGTAGTTATAGTTTATTGACAAATAACATTGTAAATTTATACTCTAAAATCAATAAAATCGCTTTTAACTGGGAATAGGATCGGTGCCATAATAAAGAAGCCTTGGAACGAATTAGTAAAAATATACGGTTGAATGCTAACTTTATGTATTTGTCATAAGAGAGACGTATACAGTGTAGGAAAGTACCGATGGTCTATCAGAAGTTACGTGAGAGCGATAAAGTAAGCCATAGAAATCCATGTGATAGACAAGGATGGCTATAATGAAGGCGTCTAATAGTCAACGCCCATTTCGCCCTTCCACAAATAAGATCCACTTCTTATTTGTGGAAGGGCGAAATAGGCGTTGACTATTAGATACCTTCATTACAGCCATCCTTGTCTGTCACATGGATTTCTATGGCTTACTTTATCGCTCTCACGTAACTTCTGATAAACCTTCCGTACTTTCCTACACTGTATAAGAAAAAATCGACTGAAATTTTTGCTAATGGTATCGAACACTTTATATACAGAGTATCTATTTATATTATTACAAAATTGTATGAATTGCATTAACTATTGTTAATATATTTACACCTAATTGGTCTGTACAAAATATGCCATCCCTTCCCTCATTTTGCTTTTATAGTAACTCCAGGTGGTAGAAATTATAAAATATTTCTCTTTTAACCTAAATTTTATGTAACTTTTTATACAACTCTATTAGTTTATTAATATTGGTACCTCTTTTTTGGTATTATATAAAATTGTATTAAATAAATGTATCCAATATATTCACTTGTTTTTCATTTTGTGTCTTGTCAGTATATTTACTTGTTTTTCTTTTTGTGTTTGCAGAGATAAAAGGGAGAAAAAAACAATCAGGTAATGCTTTGATTCTCTTACATCGAGAAGGTTGTGACCGTCACATTATTTTAATAAGTGTTTTATTTTAGAAAAGGATTTAGGTTTCTTGAGAATCGGTTCACTGAATGTCCGCGTCAAGAAAACCACAGAAGCTTTTAGTAATTTCCTGGGAGTAGGAGGAGGAGCTATCAATCCGGGGGATGCGGTTAATGAGAAAGTTCTTAAAGGTTGGGGATCTGCTGATAATGTCAGTAAGGTAAGTCGGAAGGATTATTGCAATGTTTACTTTGGATTAACCATAACACGAAACAAAGCAGAGACAGAAATTTTCTAATAAGTGAAAGCAATTCGGTACATTACTTTTTGAGATGAAGGACTGCAGAGATTAGTACGCTGCAATAAAATGTCGTTGGTTATTTCTCTGGAAGGAAATTTCCTATCAATTATACAAATTGCGGATTTCGTAAAAACTGTGGTCTTTTTCATTTACAATATTAATTAGAGAAAAAAAATTGTTACCTGGACTTTTACAAGTGGAAATGGTAAAGGGGCTTATAATGAACGTAATGCGTAAGCAGGGGAGGCGAGGGGTTGATTTGGGGGGTAGAAAAGTTGTAAAAAATTATATCATTGGAATTTCTGGCGATAGTTGACGTCAAACAAAAAAGTATTCACTACAAAAGTTATAAATCATGCAAAAATCTCCAACTTTTGTAGAGGTCACTTTTTAAGATAACCTCAAAATTTCCGAGAAAATGCGAAAAACAGGTTTATTCCTTATTTTTCGTTTTTTATTTTTCATTTCCACAAAAATAATTTAATTTTGACGAAACTTGGTGAAAGTATACCTTTCTGTATCTTAAATAGCCACAATTTTTTTTAGATAAAAAAATCAAGAAGCTTCCGAGATATTCATTTTTTCCGGTCTGAAACCGTTTTTCTTCCAAAGAAAAATTGCACTTAGAAAAACATCCTACAAAATTGTGCCGGTGATCATTTTTTTCGTTTTGAGATACTTTTTGATGAAATAAAAAAATCTATAATCACAGTTCAAAAACATGCTCAAAAATCCAAAAAAAATGACTCGCCAATGAATGTTTCAGTAATTGTTGATAATTTGTTTAAATTTAAAGGAAATTATAAAACTGATTACAACATTCAATTGTACGGAAAAAATACAAAAAAAAACGGTGTCTCATTGTTTTTAAATTTAAACAAATTATCAATAATTACTGAAAAATTCATTGTTGCAAGTAATTTTTTATTTTTTTTTTGCGTATTTGAGCATGGTTTTGAACTGTGGTCACAAATACTATTTTCGATATCTTTTATAGTTATACACAACTATTTTGGAAGACTTCGCATTTTAATAGAAAAGAATGATATACTGGAGTCGATTTAACGAAATTGTGTGAAAATGAGCAGCTTTTATTAATCAACTGATGGTCTGAGTGCTTCTGTTTCCGAGAAAATTGATTAGGAAAATTAACCATAAATGTAAGCTAACCCTGTGCATCTTGTGCACGTGTATTGCATATAAAATGTTTTCTAATCAAGAAATAACAGATATGGTGTTATGGTACAATTTAAATGATACGGACTAAGTCGTCGTTTAGAAGTTGTTTCCATGTGCTAATGACATATTAGTACATAGGAACAACTGAATAATTTTTTCTATTATCGGTAAGTAATTCGTTTATTGGTTTTTAATCGAGATTTGAATAAATTTCAGCATTTTTGAACACAAAATTTAAACCGTTAAAATCTTCATCAGCACTGTGACGCACGGCAGGTACAGCTGGCTGCCGCACCAGGTTCGGCTTTAAATTTATTTAAACCTTCCCCATCATTTGCTTAATAAAAGTTTCTTACTTTCGTGCCCTCTATCACTATTTTCAAGAAACGAACTTATTTCAGAAACGCCCTGTATATAATACATATAAAAATTAATTTTATGCTTTTTTGACCATTACATTATCAAATATGTTCTTTACTGTGTTAGGATTCGGTTATTTTTTTTAATTCATTGAAAAAAGCAAATAACATTTATCTACAAATCTAGATTGAACAAAGCGCTATATACAGGGTGTTAAAGCGATGTGACAACGATTTTCAACACTGATTCGATTCCTCTGGGCAAAGTAAACAAAAAGAAACACGTATAACATGCGCTGAAAGTGTTTTATTTTTAATCTTTAAAAGAACAGGGAGTCCTTAAGAAAAGTTTGGAAAGAATGTTGATATTTTTGTTTATTTTGTCAACATCAACAAATATCAGTTTCGAGTTTATCGCAACGTCGCGTCGCTGCAACTCTGCACGTATCTTTTTTTTTCAATTTTTTTTTTTAGTAAATATGAAAAAATTTTAGAGCAATTTGAAATTCACTTTTCAGGAAGAGATGGCTGCGCCAAAGGGCTATGTGTCAAAAAAGAGGCCAAAGAGGACCTACGAATCTGGACGTAACAGTACACCATCTACTCCCAAAACACCAACAAAAAATTTCAACTCTGTCAATTGTAATGACTCAGATTCAGACACAGCAGCGGGCTTTGACTCGAATTGGAAAAATTAGTCTTAAAGAGTTAATTCGAATACTTAAGCATCACACTTTGTATGTATATGTCTGTTTAAATTTATGTTTGTGTTTGTAGCTATTTATTACAAATTTTATACTGATAAAAGGTGATATGTGTTATTGAATAAAAAAAAGCTTGGCAAATATATTTTCTTCACATGCATTTCTAAGACAGCGCATCTATAAGTAACGGATAAATCTGATAAAGGAGGCAGTGCTTATGTTTCGAGTAAAAGTAAAAGGCAATAATAAGTTGTTCTTCGGAATATCACATATTTATAGTATAGCCAAACTAACAACCATCAAAGGTTATTCAATCAATATACACAGGTGTGTTAAATTAATAATTAAGCAGTTACCAGCTCATTTATCTAAGGTACGTATTTATCTCAGTTTATTACGCGTTAGTGAAAGAATTTTTTTCATTTATACAAAATGATTCAAAATTCAGTACAAAGGATGTAGGGGCGTATTTGACGTCGAAATAAAAAATTTTCCCCTATCAACGTGGGTCCACAAATGCTTAGTTTTCGATATACAGGGTGTTAAAGTTTTTTATTTTTTTCGATTTTTTTGGGAATAATTTCCAAACAGATATTAATGTTGGCGTAAAGCTTGGGGTATGGGGGATTTTTAGGATGTTAAATTTAAATATGTAGGTAATTGCTTTTGACGTTGCTTGTAGAGGGCGCCACCTATAAGGGTACGCTTAAATTAAATTGGCCCTAACTTTTTTACAGTCCTGTACATTGACGTTTCGTATAAGTGCTTTTATTGCCTTATCAATTTTAAGCAAGAAAGGTATACTTGGTCGAAATCTCTCAGAACAACCGTTTCCAAGGTATTGGCTGATGAAGAGTTAAATGCACACCATATTTTGAAATTTTGACTATTTACATGAAAAAATTTGAAATTTATTTTCACCATCCAATCAGTAATGTACTGATCTTTAATTTTAGCTCTTCACATTTTTTTGATACAACTAACCGTTTTCGAGAAAACCACTGCTGACTAAACGGTAGTAGGTAGATTTTTTTGCTTAAAATTGATAAAGGAATATGCGCACTAATACACAAAAGTTAGGGCCAATTTAATTCAAGCTTACCCTTATAGGCACCCTCTACAAGCAGCGTCATTAGCAATGACATATTTAAATTTAGCATCCTAAAAAACCCCATACCCTATATATACTAGTTTTATGCCAACATTCTAAGAGTGACCGCAAAAACCTGTGATATTTGCCCGTTTTTTCACAATTCGCAGAGAATAAAAAATACTAAAAATATGTTTGTGGTCGCAAATTACTTGTCGTAAAAAACTGAAATGAGCATAGCTTTTAGTATTTTGAACATTTTTAAAATCACTTTCAACTTAGGGGTTGAAAAAATGGCAAAAATGAAGAATTTGAATATTACCAATTGATATAGAAACCATTAGCATGTGAATTATCTTAATATATTATTTTTGGAATTTTCACAATTATTTCTGATATTCTCTATTTCTGGGGATGATTCCACTCCCTGAGTGCGCTTAAGGGTATATTTTCTAATTCAACATGCTTATTTCAGTCATGAGAATAAATAAATCTTTGTTTGTATCAATGATCATTCGATAGAAAAATTCACATGCTAATAGTTTTTATATTTATTGGTAATATTCAATTCTTCATTTTGGGCGTCTTTTCAACACCTAAATAGGGGTGATTTTTGAAAAACTTCAAAAAACTGAAAGCTATGCTCATTTTAACTTTTTACGACGAGTAATTTGAGACCAAAAACATTTTTATCTATTTTCTTTAGTTATCTGCGAATTATGAAAAAATGGGCGATTTTTGCGGTCACTCTTTGTTTGGAAGTCATTCCTAAAAAATCGAAAATAAAATTAATGTAATAATAATAATAATAATATGCCCTTCAATTCTTTGCACTGAATTTTTAATCAGCCTCTAACATTGTATGATTGTATGCTTTTAGTTTCTTACTTTATTTTATTTATTTATTTATTTATTTATTTATTTCCATACTGACCGAAGATATTTTTGGGTTATGCTAAAGAAACAAAAACTTCATTCAATCAAATTTCATTTCAGTTCTCTATAACTTTGTATTTTAAATATCTATTCTAAAAATTGGCCTCTTTTGTATCAGTCACAATAAAGTAGGTTCGGTGCCGTCTCAACTTCATTAGTAGCACGAAATGCAACTTTTTTTAAATACAGGGTGGCTGCCGAGGCATGTGATATACCTCGTACATACAGGGTGGGCCATTAGTGTGAGAAAGTAAAATAACTCCCTTGTTATTCATAATACAGAAAAAACGTTTATATAAAAGTTGTACAGAATCAAAAAACCTAAAGGACAAAATTAATTTGAAACACACAGGGCGATGAGTAAAAACGTGACCCGCCAAATATTACATTTTTAAATGGAACACCCTGTATATTTTTAAACAGATTTCTGAGAAAATTCTGTATATGGCAATATAAACAGTTTAACATTTCTCGAAAAACCTAATTTTTATTATTTTCCTTCCCACGAAATGGCTGAAAAAAACTGTCACATTGGGTCTACTCGTTAGTTCATAATTTATCATTCCATTTTGAGTTAATTTTAGTAGTTAGTTAAATGTTGCAATATCTTAAAAACTAACAATTTTAGATATAGAACATGCTTAATAAAAGTTGAAGTGGACCGATATGTGAATAAAATAGAATAATAAAATACAGGGTGTTCCATTTGAAAAATTTTAGAGAATCAAGTTTAAACTTTCTAAAAATGATTGTAGGTATTATAAAAAATGCCCTGTATAAAATATCGATATTAGCTAATATAGGAGCCTTTGTCTAACATTTGCCTATTAACTCTGTCTAATTATTTTGTTTCCAAGTGTTAGTATCTGAAAGTTAATACAGCTTCTTCGAGTTTGTTGATGTTCGTGATGTTTTTTCCAAAATTCGAAGAATTTTCTACATAATTTGGCAACCCCGCACTAAAATGATAAACTGTTTATATTGCCATATATAGAATTTTCTCGGAAATCCATGTTTAAAAATATACAGGGTGTTCCATTTAAAAAATGTAATATTTGGCGTGTCCATCGTACTCATCGCCCTGTATGTTTCAAATTAATTTTGTAGTTTAGGTTTCTTGATTCTGTATAACTTTTATAAACTTTTTTTCTGTATTATGAGTATGAACAAGGGAGTTATTTTACTTTCTCACACTAATGGCCCACCCTGTATATTTTTTATATTCTATATATTATTCTATAACTAATTTTAAGCAAAAAATTATGTTATTTACGCACGGCTCACCTCAGAAAAAGATCTAGGCATTTTTTTCAGAGCTTGCAACCCTGGGCCCCCCCAAGCAAAAATTGTAGGTACGCCCATGACTAGAGGACTAGGTCTCCGAATTTAAATTTCTTTTTATGGAGACACCTTAAAAATTTGGTTTACACTACTCCGATTGACACTGTAGAAGAATTAAAGAATAGAATAATAGTTTCTTGTGACACAATCAGACCTACTCCAGGAATATTTCAAGCAGTGCATATTAATATGCGAAAAACTTATATAATATTGTTTTTATACATAATCCTGTTTGCCTTATTGTAGTTATTAATTTGTTATTTATTCTTAACGAAGTAGTAATGACTTTCTAAATCATCAACCGATGATTTTTGAAAGAACAAAATATATGGAAATTGAACACCTGTCAATTTTTATGAAACTTCGTATTTTGATAGTCTTCGTCATGCTGATCAAAAGTCTCAATGAGCACAAAGCCCTACAACCCCTTCCAACCCCCCAAAACCACCGCAAAGGTCAGGGGGATCCACTTGACAGATTATAGGTTAACTGGCTTACCGAAATGCTTTACTACTGTAACCAGCCACCTACACCATAACTAGGTTTAAGACTATAATCCCCGAAACACTCAACCCCCCATTCCTCTCCCTCCCTGTCAACTACCAAAGCCTGTCATGTGACTTTTCCCTGCTTACTGGTTGGGAAAATGTTTGATCGTAAATTCCATCCCACAGCCATCTAAACGATCTGATACTCTCCGACGCCGACCCTGCACAATTGATCCACTCACCACCAAACCCAACCCCAGCGTTGGGAGGAGTAGACCAACTCCATTCCGTATCGAGGCCTGACCTGTGTTTCCTGCTTGTGGGTTATAAAACCATTTGAACGTGAATTTCATCCCACAGCTATAGAAATGTTCACTACCCAATACCCTTCAACCTCCGAAAATTGAACCAACCGTACCAACACCTTCCATATGACTTTTTGCTCTTTGCGTTAAGAGCATTGGGTAGTGATTGTTAAAGTAATTGAGAAATGAAATTCAAGATCAAACAGTTTCAGAACCCGTATACAGAAATAATTCATATGGCAGACTTTGGTTCGAGGAGAGAACAAAGGATTAGTCCACCTTCCTAACCCCGGGGTTAGAATTGGGGGTGAGTTCAATTGTCAATTGTCGGGGGGTCGGCATCGGAGAGTATAGAGTAGCGATCGTTTAGGTGGCCGTGAGATGGAATTCACGATTAAAGTTACACAACCAGTAAGCAGGGAAAAATCACATGACAGGCTTTGGTAGTTGGTGCAGAGGGAGAGGGATGGGGGGTTAAGTGTTTTGGAGATAAGCCTAGTTACAGTTTCGGTGGCTGTAGGTTCGACTGCAGTAGTAAATTATTTCTGTAGTTTTATTGACCAATAATCTGTCAAGTGCATCCCCCTAACCTTTGGGGTGGTTTTGGGGGGTTGGTGGGGGTTGTAGGGCTCGGTGCCCATTGATAGTTTTAAGCCTAGTTGTGGAATAAGTGTCTGTAGGTTCGACTACAGTAGTGAAATATTACGGTAAGCCAATTGACCAGTAATCTGTCAAGTTCATTACCCTGATCTTTGGGGGTGGTTTTGGGGGGTTGGAAGGGGTTGTAGGGCTTCGTGCTCATTGAGACTTTTGATCAGCATAACGAGGACTATCAAAATATGAAGTTTCATAAAAATTGACCGGTGTTCAGTTTCCATATGTTTTGTGCGGGGTTCTTTGTTAATTAGCCCAGTTTATTCTTTGTTAACCTCTATCAATAAGTAATAAAAAGTAGTTAATATTTCAATCAAA